AGAGTCGATCAACTTTTCGCTTTTATCACTTCTCGAAGATGGAAAATATTAACTTTAAAGTAACTGTGGTGAATTAGGAATTCCGTGGAATTCGCCAAATGGATTTAAATAAGTAGTTTAATATATATTCTATATTTTACAATAGAATTAACAAAGTGATTTACAATATATGTTTCGCACGTGCTTCTCAATACTTCTAATGAGACAAAAAGAAACGCGCCACACGCACGGTGTCTCTAACCAGCAGTCTTCGCTCGTATCCATAGTGATGAGTACATAGTAATCGGTGTTATGTACCATCCAACAGTAACATCTTTCAACTTTCAACGTAATTCTTAACCTGCTGTCCACCTAATCCCACAAATGCGAGATTGAGATCAGGACGTTACGAATAACTATCATTTGACAATCTTACCCGAATGCTTCGAATCCAAGTTGTCTCGTTGAAAGTAATAATTTTCTGGCAAATTTCGTTTATCCACACTTGCTCTCAAGTTTCTCAAATTTTCAAATGTTTTAATCAAATTAATACACATGATCCTTGTACCATGTATCTCATCGTGCATCATACATATAGAAATTTAAAAACACCTATTATCCTGGAGATAATATCTGTGTCCATTTCCATTGCATGTACAATGCATCACGTTTGAAGTACTTTCGTGGCCAATGTGTACGTTCCACGCGAACGTTGAAAATCCACGAAAACACTCGAGTTTCCACTCGATGGAATTGTATATATCCCGAAGCGAGTTAACAAGCATGAAAATCAGGCGTCTGTCGAACGACTTTCTCTCGACACGTGCGCCAATGAACGAAATTGGTACGAGCCCGAGAAGGCTCGTACGTTGAACGATCCTGGAATCGATCTATCGACGTATCTGGATGGTCAGTTTCGAGAGGCAGACAGTTGCGGTTAATATCGGTGCCGGCGTGACTGACTGCGACTTAATGAGATCCGTCACAACGGCAGAGGCAAGCTGATGACTCACACTGCAGGAAGTCTGCCGGGCGTCTTCCGTTCTTCAAATTGGCACGAGGTGAAACGGAGTCAGTGACATCGGTGCCGAAGCCGTTGGCATTTTCTTTTCAGAGTTTTTTTAATTTCAATTTCTAACATCTCGCGGCGATCCGAATACATATTTCCAAGCTTTTCAATTCGGAATTTCAGCGGCTTGAATATCTGAATATCGAGAGGAGGGAGACAGAAACTCGCGTGTGTGTCTCTGGCGACTCGCCGGACTTTCAAATCCGAAACGACCAGGTCGTTCGTTCACGGTTTCAGCTGTGAATGAAAACCGATCGTTCGACTTTCGCCGGCGCGCGCAGTTTAAATTTGTCTCGCGAGACAAATTCCCACAAGCCTTGTCGATGAATCACGACCCGAGACAAATTAATTCTCTCTGCCTGTACGTCACTTCGCGACCTTCGCTCGTACACTCGTATACGTATGCAAATTCGTACGGTTTTATCTATAAGCGTATCTCGTTCGATCTCGCATTCCCTCATAAACGCGTTTTATCTTCGCCAGTGAGAAATACGAACGTATTGCGCAATCAAGGAAAGTACACGCGTCGTTGAATCACGTTAGAGGAAGTCCTCATTTTTTTCTCTTTTTTTCTTTTAAACTTCCGTTTGGTTTTCGTGACTCTTAGCCGATCCAGGTAGCAAACTGGTACAAGGTGAAACGTGAGGAAACTGAACGACCACACGAATGAACAAAAAAACGGAACAATCTTACCTGGCAGTGATCGCGTGTCTATCCGCCATTCACGTCTACGTTTCTAGCATTCAATCGCCGCGGTACGGGAGAAAAAGTTTCGCCTGGCTCTCAAGATCCGCGCGATAACGAAATATGATGAACGGTCTGCTAATTGAATACTGAGAAAGTTACATTATTGTTTCGTTAACAACGCGTTCTCTCCGCGTCTCGCGTTTTACGGAAAATTTGATGTCCAACGAGATACGAAGCAAGTTGCAAACCACCGATAAAGTTTCTCTCTCAGGATTTATCGAGATGCATACGACGTGACTTTATATGTATTAACACTTTCACAGTGGGTGTCACGTGTATACTTGACTTTGCTTGATTAACAAAAATATCAATACAAATAAACATAAATTAAAAATATCGATAGACACGGATCAAAATAGTCTACGTACAAACCATTCACTTGACAAAGTATAAATCATTCGACTGATAATTGAAATAAATAGATTTATACAACTGTGCTTTTCCGTCCAAACAAACAGCAATATTAATTTGGACAAGAATGTTGCAATATATGTAACTCGACAGGCAAACCGACTCTAACGCAAGTTTATGAAATCTAGGCATCGCGGGCATGTTTGCGGTATCTTAAGGCCACAACGTGTGTGACAATGAGTTTATTCTTCAAAGGTGACGTGAATCGAAGTTCCCCGAACAGTCTCTGTAACTCCTTCTTCGCAACTATTAGTCTGTCTAACAGTAAGAATATATAATTTTCCACTTTCGTATCGTTCGTTATGAAAATTTTATTCGCGGCCCCCTTTTTTGCTTTTAAAAATTTCTTCATTAAAAGTGACGAAATGAGCGAAAAATATCTCCAGGAAAAAGTACGAAACGGGGGAAAAGTAAAATATCTAGGTTATCTGTCAAGGAAGGAGCAAGTATTCAACAACTGTCAGCGTTTTCGTTTTGTTCCCGTGTTCCAACGAGGGATGTCAAAATAGTTTACAGAGGCAATGAATTCCGGCTGATCCCCGGAGACAGAAGAGAGGGGAAATATATCCGCGAGCGCGAATATCCACTGTCGGTCGAATTTCTTCGGGGCAGCGCGTACTGCAACACCGTATTAAAGGAATTGTTTGAATCGACTGCGCCTTGGAGCGTTGCCAAAGGCGCGAGATTACCTCGTTGATTCCTTCCGGGCCTCGGCAATTCACTGCGGCCGTAATTGCCAGGCTTCCGTGCCAAATTTACGACCGAGTTTCGTTTCACCCGAAAAGATCTGGCCATTCTGGAGCGCGTATAACTTGGCACGTTGTGTAAAGTGATACAATATTCATCCATCACGTTATCAATGGTAACTGCAAACGTCATTTTTCTCGACTCCTCCCGAGAGAAATCGCTAGATCACCAACAAGATTTTTCCCCGCTTCGCTATAAATCCGCGATTGTAAATTTTGTCTTATTTTCAAATAAAATAGACTCTATTGCTCTTTGTAGTTTTGTTGGATTCCGCGTAAACGAATGGCACTTTGGTTTTTAATCTCTTGCACTGGAATAAGGTGCCACGCACGTCGAAAATTTTTTGTTCCAAAATGGCAATATTTTCTCAGTTTTAAGTACACTTAAGTAAAATAAAATAGGCAAAACAATAAATTTGTTACTTTTCAATAATTTCTATCCAGTAATATCGTACCGACGAGTTCAAAAAGAAAGCGACAAATCTCTCGTTATGGTCCGTAATCAGTTGCCAAGTGGTTAAAGATGTAATTCTACGTTGATCATGGTGATCAAGGATTACGTTAGGTTTGCTTTATAGAAAAGAGTGCTACTTTCTCTTTTCAGCACGTCTTTTTATATTTATATTTCTGGCAAATCGAAGGGAAAGGGAAAGGAGCAGGTAGACGACCAACTACTAGAAATCACTTTACTGACTATTGCTAACTCATTTGTCAGGGTTAGTAATGAGCAAATATTATCAGACCTGGTTGATCATCCAACAATGGAACCAAATGGTAATGTGGATTGGAAAAAAATACACCAACAGCGAACGTATTATTTCTTCTCAAGTGTCTCAGCAGAAAAGTAAGAGGATTCTAATCTAATTGTAACTGTCTCGCAATCGAATTTCTAAAAAGGAAGTTTCCATGTGAAAATAATTTCTGCCGACAGTGTCTCACGAAGGAGTTGGCGTTGATGCAATCATGTCCCCTTCGCACATAATTCTTCTCAGAAACGGCCTTTGCCCTCTCTGTGGGCAAGCTACCCTTTCCCAAGCTCTAGTCCCAGCGGCCACGTGGATTTTCACGGACGAGATTCCTTCAGCCTGCTGATGACCAAGGGGAAAGGGCGTAAATCAATTAGGAGGCCGATGTGGTAGTTGTTGATACAATAAAGAGGAACGTGACGCTGCCTTACGGCCGGCAGGAAATGAGGAACGGGGCGAGGGGCGAATCGAACATGTCGAGTTGAGAACGAACGTTTCCCCTGATAGATTCTGTCGAGTAGTTTCTTCGCCACTGCTCTTAACCAGCTACGTAATTTTACAAGATTTATCGAGCGTACAATCATCGCGAATACCCTTTGGTTTTTGCTTCAAGTTCATGATCATTTTGAACTCCGTCGAAGTCCGTGTCGAAGACTTTTCACATACGTATGTTACATAATGATGAAAAATCGTCGATACTTTAAACTGTTGTAACTTCACAAAGTGAATCTACCTGGTCTCATTTTAAAGTATAAAGCTTCTACTTTCATTGTTCTAAGTTCGTTCCAGAGATACTTTTACATCGTGCAACGGGTGAGAAAGCAGGAATACTTTTGTTCTCAAAAACTGTAAAAATTCAAGCATCGGTAAAAAAATATTAAAAAATTGCTGAACTAATATTATCAGGCCTGGTCATCCAACAGTACATAAAATCCACACTAAAAGAAAAACATGAAGACACGAAGGATCCTTGGATCTTCGAGGAACGAGAGAGATTCCTAGAAAGAATAAGGATGCTATCTGAAAACTATAAACGAAACTCGAGAATAAAGACGAAAGTTAATTCAATTCTATACGAGCTATCGAACGAGTCGGACGAACTGTAGCGCTTTTGAACAATTGTCGAATTATACAACTGTATTCTTTACAAATATATTATAAATAGAAACTGGTGTTCTATAATAATATATAAAAATAATATACAAAAAAATTATATATATTACAAATAATATACAAATTTTTTCGTGTTCCTTGCACTTTAATTTTCTTTGCTATAAATTTTATACTTTAGTCGTCGGTATATGTAATGTCCCTGTTTTTCTTCTTTCCAGACCCCGTGATGCCACCGCCGCGGAGTGTTTGGAATCGTTAGCAGCGGGCCTGGAAAAATGGCCTCGATCTTGGGAGACGGGACGGGCCCCGGGGGCTCGGGGCCCTCCCGATGCCTCTTGCTTCTACAAAGGTCGCTGGCGATTCAGCTGACCAGGGGTCCGCCCCCTCAGATTCTGAACGCCAGCCAGCGGGACAGTCCAAAGGAGCACCCAGCCGACGAGATGTGGATGTACGACAAAGGTTACAATTTGTTTCAGGTGAGTCGCATTATCCCCTTTTGAATACCAATTGTTCGTGTACTCCTCTGCACGCGTTTTAGCCAGCGGGCAGCGCATTACGCTCGTCACGGCTAACCTCCACGACATTTTTCCACGCAACGATCTGTTACGAACCGTACCGCCGCTACCGACTTCTACTCCTCCATTATGTCCTGGGAAAGATCCCTTTCTTTCATTCAGAGGCGAGCGCCGTTTTTATCGCTCGTCAAAGACTTCGCGAACTGACTGCACGACGACGAGGTTTCGTTACGCTTAAAAAAAAAAAAAAATCGTCGTTTTTGTTCGTCCTGTTCGTTTTGTTTCGAGGCGAAAGGCAAACGAATCAAACGCGAGCACCGTGAGACGCGACAGTCGAAATTGTTTCTGGAAAACGGCCAGATCAACGGCGCGCACAATGCACATGCACGCGCGCGATGAAACGACACCTTCGAAGCGTGGCCCCTTCCGAGGTGGCCGGCCACTTTTACAACTCAGCATTTCCGAAGCGAAGATTGGCGTTGATTGGATGCACCGTTACACCGGAATGAGACAATATGAATTACAAGCAATTCTGCGAGTCAATCTCAATGGGAGGGGGGGATAAGGACGAGGCAACGAGTTAACCGGCGGATGTTGTATGGTCTTGTCAACTGTTCGATGTGTCGTGATCTTTCCTCTCTTTTTCTCTTCACCGTCGTTCATATTCTGCAGAGTAGATAATATTCGCCGAAACATGAAAAAAATCCTAATAAACATGGGTCGAAAAATTAATAGGTTCAAAGTTATGAACGATTTATCCTAAAAGTTACGAACCCTTCTTTTCTATTCACGCCTTCCGATTTACACTTTGGGCCCTGGTCAAAGTATCTTAGGATGAGTCATATATACCCAAAAACGTGATCAAAGCTGATCGAAACACTATTCCAATCGCTAACGCGCTACATCGATGGCTCTGATCTATCTCGATAACACAAGTTGCAAACACAATCGATCGCCGATTTAACGGAATCGACGCTTATTCGCGAAGACGGGAGTCGTTCATCGACCACACCTAGGTTTTCTCTGCTCTTCCGCGGGAGAAAACGGTCTGTTCAGAGATTGAAGACATCGAAGCTCACGCTGCCAGCCAAAGGAAATCAAATTGGGACAGGCCTTTCAACGGGGGAACAGAGTTCTTCTGTTTCAATGAACGCTCGCCCGGGGGTGGAGCACCCTCCGAGGGAACGTTAATCATGGCTGCTCCTTCGCTCGCAGCGGCAGAGCACGTTTGAAAGAGACACGACCGGTAATAGCTTAGCCAGCAGGGTTCAGCCGATTCGTTCGATCCGTGACAATGCCACCTTTGTGTCGGCCTCTCTTCGGCAACGTCTGACTTCCTCTCTTTGGCTTTATACCTGCGTCGTTGTCGGTGCGAGGCCTTATTTTTTCACACCTGCTTACGTGAGATCGTGTGATCATGAGATCGTAAACTATTAATAAAATTTTCTGCTATTCTTATACGATAACAGACTCGAGAACGGATTAACCTCTTGCGCTGGAATGACGTGCTACGCACGTTGAGAATTTTTTCGTCCCAAAGTGCAACATTTTCTCAGTACGAAGTATATTTAAATGTAACCCAGGCGAAACAAATGATCAGTTTATTACTTCTCAATAATTTGACGAGTTGAAAAGAAAAAGAAAGCGACGAATTATTTTATACGGTCCGGTCACTCGTTATGGTCCGCGAACCAGTTACCAGAGCAAGGGGTTAAATACGCCCTATTTCTTCTAAACATTTTAAAGAGTTCAAACTTTTTGAAAGTTTTTAAAGAGTTTTTTAACGTTTTAAAGTTTAACCTCTCTTCAAAAAAAAAAAAAATTCTAACATTTCCATGTTCTTTAAATTATTCGATTGGTATCGAATATATGTCCATTCCGGTTCTCCGAATTTGGAATCGCAGAGGTATTAATGTCAAGGCCATTCGAAATACAAGAATCCTCTCATAGAAAGCAAGAGTTTCAAGCCAAGCTGAATCGACGAGGGGCACAGAGCCGAAGAAGTTAAAGTCATCGACTGTTTTAAAGATCAAAGGAGACAGGTCTCCAAGGTCTTTCTTCTTTGAAAGAATGTAAAAACGTCAAATTGATAAATGGATGCCAGACAGATGTTCTCTCGCCGTGCTTGGCAACGAGTAAGAGGCAGGCAAGGAAGAATCGATCGTTAAAGGGCGAACGATAATAGCATCCGACTACCCTCCTCTTCTATTTTGCATATCGCCACACGATCGCACCCCATGAAAGCTAACCTCCCAACTTTTTTAGGCTTCGAGCCAAGAAACTCTGTCGCAACAGTACTAACTATACGTGTATTATACTTTATAGAATACGTATCTTTGTATCCGTTTTTTATTTATTATAAAACAGACATTATACGTATGTATAGTCATCGATCGTTTATCACTGAAAGGGATCAAGAGAATTAAATTATATATGTACTTTATGTATCCTTTTGAAAACTAAGATTCTACTTTAGAACGAGTGTTAATATATTTATTTTATATATTATGAAATAGTGTTAAAATTTGTTGTGCACTTTTATACGTAACTACACGTATATTATAGAGTGTGTATGTAATCAAAAGAATTAAATTACGTGCTTCGTACATTCCTTTGACAAACGAAAATTCCGCCTTACAATTAGAATGAAAAGATATTGGACGAAGTTAAAATGTTACAATTTGTCATGCACTTTTACGCTTGTTATTATCCAAGATTTACGGCCGCGTGGTATCGAACGAATCCATCTGGCACGCTCAGCCGTTTTATATTTGACGAATAACAAATTTGATAAAGTCAAATGATCTGAAACGTGCCAACGGGTGTAAAACGGCGCCGTACTCGCTCGATAAGGAGTTGATAATCTTACTGGGTGAATTGGATCAACTCCGCGGCTGTAATTGTCAGGCTAATTAGAGCCACGACAGGAACCGCTGCGTTTACAGCCGGCGTTATCGTTTCACAATATAGAGACCAGCTTATTTATTGCCACCGTTAATTATTGTTCGACGAGACTGAGTTCGAGAAAGAGAGATTATTATCGACGGCTGTGTTCGAAACGATTCGAGCTGCCGCCGCCGCCGCCGCGACGAGATTCCATCTCGCTCTTCGAGCCCGCCTTATGTTCGACGTTCTCTCCGGAATATTACACGAAGCCGCGGGCGATGAACGCGTTGATCCAGATAAACATCGGCCGAGGCTCGATTGTACTTTTGCTCGTAAATTTCACTTAATTGCAGGGATCTGAACTTTGATGCGATTAACGGGCAATTGTCCGACCGGGGGGAACGCGAAACGGATTCGCCTATTATTGAGACGTTAAATTAAAATCGCCTAGACCGTTTGGAATCAAGGACGTATCGTAATTAGCAATATCTGCGAAAATGATCGGATATGAAATTAAACCTGTCGCGCGGAGTGAAAGCGCGACACGCCGCAAGTTGATTTTACTACGCGGTGCAGCAAAAGATCACATACACAGACACACACACTCGGAAGAATTGTTTGATCGCATCGAAGAAAAATATCACGTCGAATTTCGTTGTAAGATCGAGAGATGCTGTTCCACTCATCGCGAAGCAAGGGAAATGGTCGGACACTCGAACGTTTCACGATCGTAATCTGGAGATTACACAAAGGGTGAGAAGCTCGTTTACTTAGGGTCGCGCGTAATCGAGCCAGCTTCACCGATCGATATCGAGGCAAACTTTGCTCTGCTTTGCTCAATAACATCAGTATACAGTATTTATTGGGAGTATCCATGATTAATGTTTTCCGATTTTTATTTTTTTTTTTTTTTTCTTTTTAATCATTGTCACTAGGCAATGTTTGTTAAATTTGAAAAAAAAACGACGATACTTATGAGCTAATACCCTATCAGATAAATAATTCTTCTTTCGTATGAAACGAGCGGCTCCATTATCCCATTCGGTACAAGAATAGTATTGTCTGAACGTAGTGTTGGCGCGATAAATAGCCACTTGTAGAGACAATGTTCAATGATTATAAACACGTTGAATCTCGAGTGCATAAACATGGTACTCTGTTACACGCCGAGGAGGAAGAAGTGAAACCTCGGTTCGTTTTATTGCGGATATTATGCCAGGAACACACATATTTGCGATACGTTTCCCGCTTGAGCGTGAAACACGATCTTAAGGCAGGCACCACTGTGCAACAGAAGATCGTACATCTCGAGCTGGATGCACCGGGGAGTCGTGTTACCCCCTTGGTGCCGCTAACCGGAAATGGATTGTAAATAGGAGTAAAACCACCGAATTAATATAAATATGACGGCGGGAGGATTTAGAGGAGATTAGTACGATATTTGGGAAAAAGAAATCTTCTCTGTACGATCACGGACAGGAGATAACAGATAATTTGTTGCACAGAGCGTTAGATGTAAAAAAAAAAAACGCAATTTTTAATGCCGTTCAACGCAACGTGTCAAGTTGAAGTAAAAAATAATTTCGTATTCCTAGGATGTCAAATTAACAGACGGAATTTTCGTATTAAAATAGAATTTTATTAAACAATGTGTTTTTATTTTGTTCGATAACTCTTTCAGGCAACTTCAAAATTCCATGCTCCCAGAACCTCCCAGTTTTCTGAGCAAAAAACCTACTCAAGGTACGTTTTGCAAGCCTCGAAAGAAAATATAACTTCTTAGAAAAACACAGTGAAATATTCAGATATATATATGAATAGTCAAACTTTTTTATTATAAATTTTGTAATCAATAATGAATTACATATATACATAAATATTCTTTTTTTCTATCTATTAATTCTTTTAATTATGTATGTATATACACATAACACTAGAACTATCAAAATAGTCAAAATAACCAATTCGAAATTTTTGTTGGATTTTTTATACGTGTAAAACACCGTAGTTTTAGATTTAAATGATTTTTCGTAACATGTATAAATAAATGCTTCGTTGTGTTCTCTATTTTATTT